CTAGGCAGCCCGGTCCCGGCACCGAAGGGCGGGCGATGGACCAGTACTGCATTCTGGGGCGCATCGGGGAGGGCGCACACGGCATCGTCTTCAAGGCCAAGCACGTAGAGGTGAGCTGGGCCCCGGGGGCCTCCCGGGCCTTCCTCCTTGGGTCCCGTTCCTTTCTCTGTGAGGTGCACCTGTTTTCCGAACCCAGGCGTGGGCCATTGCGCCGGCCTCCCCGTCTCTCTCCTCTTCGCCGCGTGTGCTCATCACTTTACCTTTAAGGGGTGGGGATGGAGGCGTCCAGATTGCGGCCCGCCGCATCCCACACGTGTCCCCAGGAGCGTGCTGAGGATGCTTCTGAACTGTGTGACTTCCCTCCAGACGGGATGGGGGCACCCTCCATCCTCTCGAGGGCCTGGGGCCTCCGCGTCCCACCCAGAGGGCGCGTTTCCCACCCCCTCGCCAGCCTTTCCCAGGGGCCATGGGGTGGCAGTGTCTGCCTTCTGTCCTGCACAGACTGGAGAGATCGTTGCCCTCAAGAAGGTGGCCCTGCGGCGGCTGGAGGATGGCATCCCCAACCAGGCCCTGCGGGAGATCAAGGCCCTGCAGGAGATCGAGGACAATCAGTATGTGAGTGAGGCTGGGGGCCGGGCACCTTCTCCCGCCCTCTGCTCACTCCCACTCGGGGGACCTGCACCCACTCTACTGGCTCATGTGCTTCCCCACCCTCACTTCCGTTCTTGCCCACGTATTCACTCTCATTTACCAAACTACTTCATTCCTCACTCATTCACTTTCTTGTTCATCCACTTCTTTCTGTACTCATCCATCCATTCACGAACGTATGCCTTATTTCTCAGAACTCTTCAGTGGTTTCTAGTGGTAATGATCACTGCCACCTATTGAGCTCCTGCTGTGTTCTGCAGGCTGGGTTAACTGCTTGACCTCCATTGTCCGTCTGAGTTTTCTCGGCTACTCTGCAAGGGAGGTTTCGGGATCTACCTCTCTCAGACCAGGGGAGCAGGGCCAGCCACCAGCATATGGGGGCTCGGCTTGTCTGTGGAGGCTTGGGACCGGGTCTGATTGAGGAGTCTGGATGTTTTAACTTTGGGGCCTTTTGTAGGCCCCGCCCGGTGCTGGGCACTGGCAACACGGGAGAAACTGGCCCTCACCAGGCTCTTGAGAAGTTGAGTGTGGTAAGGGAGATGGACAGAAGCCGCAGGGCCCAGCTGGTGTGGTTGGTGCCGTGACAGGACTGGGAGGGTCTGTGGCACATACAGAGGGGCACCTCATAGCCCAGCCTCATGCTCTTTGGCTCTCTCTCTTGTCCATGTCAGGAGTGCAGAATGTGCTCAACTCCCCGGGGAGTGACAGGGATGGGTCGACCTTGGATAAGCGAGACCCTGATTTGTTCCTTAATCTCTGAAGCTCTTCATGATGTATTGGGTGACAGGGCGTGCTCTGACACTGTTTGTCATCCCGGTTGTGTATGAAAACATTGTATATGTGTTTATGTGAATGTGTCTGTGTGCCGTACCTATTGTAAAATCTGGGGGAATATACTCTAAGGTTGATTTTAGTAGGTAGGATTTTCCTTTTTTTGTTTTTAAAAAGTAATTTTGGCCTTAGCTGGTTCGGCTCAGTGGATAGAGCATCAGCCTGCAGACTGAAAGGTCCCAGGTTCGATTCCGGTCAAGGGCACATGCCCGGGTTGTGGGCTTGATCCCCTGTATAGGGCATGCAGGAGGCACCTGATCAATGATTCTCTCTCATCGTTGATGTTTCTCTCTCTCTCTTCCTCTTTGAAATCAATAAAAACATATTTAAAAAAATTTTTTAAGTAATTTTGTGTATTATCTAAATGTATGTGTGTGTTTCACTCTGTAAAATGACTATGTCCTCACCTCAAAATCAGAAAAATAGCAGTAAGGCCATTCTCGTTTTTTGAGGGAGTAAAAGGGCTTGCTGACAGCCCCTGTGTGGCCACCAGGAGGCTGGTGACGAGGCCCTGCATCCTGTGATCAGCAGGCCTGAGGTTCTATCTTTAAAACACTGTAGATTTCACGCTGGCCCAGGCCACTGTCGCCTTTCACCAGAACAGCTACAGCAGCCTTCCCACTGCTGCCCTGCCCCACAGTCAAAAACATGTAGGTGGAGTTGTCCTTTCCCAGTGGCTTGTCTTCACAGTGAAAGCATTGTCACCATCTGCTCCCACCCCCCTCCAGCCTCTCTTTCCATTCATTCAACACAGTTTCTTAAATGACAAGCACCATCTAGGCCCGTGATGGCGAACCTTTTGAGCTCGGCATGTCAGCATTTTGAAAAACCCTAACTTAACTCTGGTGCCGTGTCACATATAGAAATTTTTTGATATTTGCAACCATAGTAAAACAAAGACTTATATTTTTGATATTTATATGCCATTTAACAAAGAAAAATCAACCAAAAAAAATGAGTTCGCGTGTCACCTCTGACACACGTGTCATAGGTTCGCCATCACTGATCTAGCCTTTGGGGCAGAAGAGAGCAGAGAGCCTTCCCACATGTACATGTCCCTCCCTCCAGCCTCCTCTCTGTTCTTGCCTCAGGGTTTTGTGCTTGCTGTCTCCTGCCCAGAGCTCCTGTCCAGCTCCCTGTATAATCAACCCCACCCCATTCTTTCTCTTTTGTCCTCATTAGAACCATTTGTCAGTAGTCTGTTCCCCAGTGCTGTGATCTCCTTAAGGTCCCCTTTTCTTGCTCCTTCCTGTGCAGCCCAACACCTGTGACCTGTGGGCCCTCAGTACATATGACGTGTCTCCAGCTGTCACAGTTCTGGGGAGTAGTGGCTGCCTTTTCTTGGTGCTGGGATTTAATGGCCCTAGAGCAGGGGTCCTCAAACTTTTTAAACAGGAGGCCAGTTCACTGTCCCTCAGACCGTTGGAGGGCCGGACTATAGTTTAAAAAAAAACTATGAACAAATTCCTATGCACACTGCACATATCTTATTTTGAACTAAAAAAACAAAACGGGAACAAATACAATATTTGTATTTGCATGTGGCCCGCGGGCCGTAGTTTGAGGACCCCTGCCCTAGAGGAAACCAGAGGAGACTTGAATTCGTGTGTGTGTGTGTGTGTGTGTGTGTGTGTGTGTGTTGATTTTCCAGTTTGTGGGCTGGGTGGGGGAACCAGACATTGCCCTAAGTGGCCTTAGACCTCCTTTTCCCTGAGTGTGAGTGGAGTGTTAAAGTGGGGGCCTGTTTTCTCTCAGGAGACAGGAACAACAAGAGGGCACCCAGCTCCTTGGTCCCCATCCAGATCTTATGTCACCTCCTCTGTCTGCCCTGACCTCTGCTGTGGCAGGGGCTGGGGTTCCAGAGAGAGTCTGAGCCCTGTGCGTCTGGGTACTGACCGGATGCCCGGCCTGCAGGTGGTGCAGCTAAAGGCCGTATTCCCACACGGGGCAGGCTTTGTGCTGGCCTTCGAGTTCATGCTGTCAGACCTGGCGGAGGTGGTGCGCCACACCCAGAGGCCGCTGGCCCAGGCACAGGTCAAGAGCTACCTGCAGATGCTCCTTAAAGGTGTCTCCTTCTGCCACGCCAACAACATCGTGCATCGGGTCAGTCCCAGCAGGGGCTGAGGTGGGGCCTGAGGGCCAGTTGGATTGGGGGTGGACCAGCCCTTGAAGAAGACAAGACCAGAGAGGGGGACTGAGGGGGCGGGGCCTGTGGGTAAGCCCTCTGGGGTGTGGTCTTGCAGGAGGGGGAGGGGTGGGGGGACTTGGGGTGACCCAGGTGCTCAGCCTGCCAGCCCCCAAGGTCCTCTTGGGGCACTGGAAGAACTGATGCCTCCTTTGGTGCTCTCAGGACCTGAAACCAGCCAACCTGCTCATCAGCGCCTCGGGCCAGCTCAAGATAGCGGACTTCGGCCTGGCCCGGGTCTTTTCCCCAGACGGCAGCCGCCTCTATACGCACCAGGTGGCCACCAGGTAGGGAGGGCCGGTTCCCAGGCAGGACCTAGCAATGGACAGGTCCCATGCCTCCCCCTGGGAAAAGAGGCTTCTGGGCCTCTCCAGACATCGCTCATGAGGCGGGTATGGGGGCCAGGGTGACCTTCTGGGGCAGCCTCCGGTCAGACTAGTGACTTGGCTGTGACCACCCACCCTTCTCTTGCAGGTGGTACCGAGCCCCCGAGCTCCTGTACGGTGCCCGCCAGTATGACCAGGGGGTCGACCTGTGGTGAGACTGTGGGCTGGGCAAGGGGGGAATGTGGGTCCAGGAGTCACCCTTTCCTCCTGGGCATTGGGATCGCTCAGCCACTTAGGGGTATTTTCGGGCTGTGAGCTCTGGGTTGCCTTGGGCTCTCTTCCCCAGTTAGGGTATCTCTGAGGAGTTTGGGACCAATGTTCCTCTCCAGGACTTTTGGAGCTGGATGGGGGTTGGGTGGGATGGGAGTGGTTGTCCCAGTGGGAAGTTTCCTGGGGTGTGGTGCGTCTAGCTACTGTGCAGGGGACGAGAGCTCAGGATGCAATGGCCCTGAGCGATCCCGAGGCCTGGGTCCTTGGGTAGTAAGGCTCTGAGCCTTCCCTTGAGACAGAGTGGCGTATACATGCCTAAGAGTTTGAGATTTGGTGGCTGTTTGGAGGCCTGCCGCAGAATGTGAGGAGGTGGCTGTGTGTCCCAGGGTGGGGAGCTCTGAGAAGTTGCAAAACTGTTGAGTGGTTATTGTGTGTTGTAGATTTGAGGTTGAGAGATGCTTGGAGAGGGGGCTATGCTCTGTGTTGTAGGCTGGAGGTCTTTGATTGTTTGGGGGCTCGGTCTTGGCTGTGAGCCCTCTAGGCTACTTGCGCATGCGCCGAGAGGTGGGTGCAGGTGTGAGCAGACGTGTGTCCGCGGTGGGGAGTGATGGAGCTGGTATGCGTAGACCTGTGTTCATGGTGTGAGACGATGGAGCTGGTATGGGGAGACCGGTGCCCGTGGTGTGAGTCTGTGAGCTGTTTGGCTTCTGTATCTGCAGGGCCGTGGGCTGCATACTGGGGGAGCTGTTGAACGGGTCCCCGCTTTTCCCAGGGGAGAACGACATCGAACAGCTTTGCTGTGTACTTCGCATCTTGGGCACCCCTAGCCCTCAAATCTGGCCGGTTAGCAGGGGCCCTCGGTGGGGAAGGGAGGGAGGAGGTGCCCTTCATTCCCCCTGGTAGCTGGTGACTCCCCTCTCTGTACTTTCTCTCTTTTGGCCCCATGCCTCCCTGAAATTCCAGACCACTGTCCTGGCCCAGCTTGGGGGCTCCCCCCTCCCTGCTGTCCGCTGTCCTATCCTGCCTGCCCCTAGCACCTGCAGTCTCTCCAAGCTGGGGGTGGAGCAGGTTCTGGAAAGGGTGGAGGCATGAGGGACTGAGTGAGTGAGTGAAGACATGGGCGATGGGGTGAGGGTGGGACACATGGCTGGGGCCGCAGCCAGTAGCCTGGGCAGGTGGGCGACAGGAAGCGAGGACTGACAGAGGGAGCAGGCGGGCAGTGCTGGCCCTGAGGCGCCCCGTTCCCCTCAGGAGATCACGGAGCTGCCCGACTACAACAAGATCTCCTTCGAGGAGCAGGCGCCTGTGCCCCTAGGAGAGGTGCTGCCAGACGCCTCTCCCCAGGCCTTGGACCTGCTGGGGCAGTTCCTCCTCTACCCTCCGCGCCAGCGCATTGCAGCCTCTCAGGTAGGGTGACCCCGTGGCCCTGATCCTCCTCACTCACGCTCATGGGACTCAGGAGGTCAAGGTCCCTGAGAAGGTGTGATGGGGGCTCGGAGCCGCCGTGCCTCTCTTGAGCAGACCCCGGAGGGGCCGCGGGCAGGAAGGGTGGCCCATTGGAAGGGCGTGCCCACCTTACAGAAGACAGCCCCTCCGGTTACTGGTGACTCGCTTCGTCATGCCTTCATTCCTTCAGCAGGTATTTACTCAGCATTGGCATATTCCAGGCACTGTCCTGGGCCTGGTCCAGAGCGAACAAGTGGTCATGGCCCCATCCCTGTGGGGTCTCTACCTTGTGGTGAGGCAGGGCGCCCAGGCAGTGGGCGTCAGGCTTCCTGGAGGATAGGTTAAGGCACGGGAGGTGTTCCCTCATGAGAGATGATGAGCAGAGGCCCGGAGAGAAGGACCCAGCAGGACGGGTTGTGGCAGGGAGGCAGGGAAGGAAGGGGGACCATGGGCCTATGGCATCAGGGTCTCTGTGGCTTGTACCACTCCCCCCCTTGGCACTAGTAGTGTGTGTTCATGCATGCGCCTGGTGAGCGCCATGTCCACCGTGCCTTCAGAGCATCCTGAGACCAACTTAGCACTTCCTGCTCCATCTAAACCCCGCCCCGTTGTTCCCAGAGTCTCCTCCTGCCCATTCAGTGTCTGCTCCCACCTGGCAGAGGTCATGACCTTGTCCAGACAGGCCAGCACCCTCTGCAGGGCCCTCCTGTTGTAGCTCCCTCAGAGGACAGCCCAGGTCCTAGTGGCCCACAGGAGTCACAGGCTTGGGGCTGTCACCTCTGACTGCCTGTTCCTGTCCCTCTCAGTCACCCCTCTCTGGCCCCAGGGCTCCCCCATGTCCTAGGGTCTGTGCACTTCTGTCCCTGGGCCTCACGTACTCATCTCTCTTGTCTGTGTTCAAGTGCCACCTCCCAGGGGCCTCCTCTCAGCACTGCAGCCTGCACCGCTTCAGCACTAGTCATTTGACACACTGACTACCTTACTTCTCTGTGTTGTTTATTGTCCCCCGCTCCCGGCACGTGGAGGTCTGTGCGCTGCTGCACCCCTGGCCTCTGGAGCCCTGCTCAGTCAGCACTCAGAAGCGAGTCAGACGAGCAGGGGAAGGAAGGAGCCCTGCAGGGCAGTACTTGTCTCCCCGGCTCAGGGAAGTGAGCTGAGGCTGGGACAGGGAAGGGGTTGGTTTCTATATGCTGTTCCTTCTTGTCACCCCCAGGCCCTCCTGCACCAGTACTTCTTCACAGCCCCCCTGCCTGCCCACCCTTCGGAGCTGCCAATTCCCCAGCGCCCAGGGGGACTGGCCCCCAAGGCCCACCCAGGACCTTCCAACGTCCATGACTTCCATGTGGACCAGCCCCTCGAGGAGCTGCTGTTGAACCCAGAACTGATTCGGCCCTTCATCCCGGAGAGTTGAGCTGCTGGACCAGGCCCCACCGGCCTGTGTTCCAGGGCCTCCTGTTCCTCTGCTCCAGCCTGACTCAACCCATGGCCACACTACGACCACACTGGGCTCACTCCGTACCTGGTCCTGTCCCAGCCAGGCAGTGAGGATGTCCAGCCCCAGCAGAGGAGGAGGCCGGAGGCTGAGTGCTGCTGACTTACCATCAGAAAGGGGCAGTGCGCCCACCTCCGCGCTGGCCGTGGTGCTGCTGCTCCAGGCACTGCCTTTCTGGCCAGGACACATCCTGGAAGAGCCTTCTGTGAGCACAGAGTAGGATGTCCTCAATTCAGAAACCCGAGTGGGAAGGGAGGTGGGTTTACTTTTGTTCTCAAGGATGTTAAACACTACTTCAGTTTTTGAGATTTATTATTAAAAAGCCCAAGTAGTTCTGCCTGGTGTCTGCCTTTCTTCCATTCCTATCAAGGGAAGTGGCCGAGGTGGCATCCTCTCCTGGTCCTTGCTTCTCTGTGGTCGCTGGGAAAGTGACCCCATTCATGGCTACTCTAATCTTGGGGGCTCCCTAGGGGCTTTATATGACGGAGCTTCCCTTTGGAGGTGACGTGGCCCAAGTCCAGGCCCAAGTATGGCTCAGGTTGTGAACCAAACACCTTAATCTGGTTTACAGACATCTCCGCCTTTGGAGAAGGGTGAGCCAGAACCAGTTGTGCCATCTTCTTCCTTAGAGAAGGAGACAGGCATTCCTGAAACTCACTTGTTAATTCAATAAATCACAATACAGTTCTATCCGGCTCTTGTTTTTCTTATTTAATAATTTGATAAGACAGTTGTAAAATATATATGGAAATATAAGGGTTGAAAGGAGGAAGCAGAAATGAGAAGAATGATGATGAAAGGGTTTACCTATTAGATACCAAGACTTGGCATAGGGCTGTAATAATTGAGACAGTGGTGTTGGTTCAAGGATAGATAAAAACAGGCAGATTAAAGAAATTTATTCTTAGTACTCTTTTATTCTTAAAATATTCATTCTGTGCCCCATGTGAATAAACTTCTGTAAGCACTGAAGACAGAGGTGACTAACATTGCCAGTCACTGCTTTTAGAGGGAACATAAAACACAAACTCCAAAAAAACCCCCCAAAAAACACAAACTCCAGTTGTTGCTTTCTGGAGGGGAAAGTTACCATCTTTAAAGATGTTTTCAGGATTGGGCCTCTGCCTGTTTCTCCAGCCACATCTGTGTCAGAATGTCTAGCTCAATTTTCATGACCATCACTCTGTCCTTAAGCCTTACATTAAACCTGACCCTTATTCATCACCCTGACTGACATATACACTCATCCTCACCCAATTCTTTGTCAGACCCTTACCCACCTAAACCTGACCTTGATCTTGGCATTGACCATGACCCTCACCATAACTGACCCCACTTGACATAGAACTTAACCTTTTTCATGAACTCCCCCATCACACTCACAATAACATTGACCCTCTCTGATTGGCATTCATACTTTGATGCTCATCATGACCCTGATCCTGATGCTTAACATGGCTGTCATACTTATCCTGACCTTGACTTACCCTTGACAATGACTATTTGTTACACTGGTCATGACCCAACACTATCACGAATGAGACTCTTGGTACCCTTAATCTGATTATGACTCTCAACTTCACTCTATCCCTGCCCCTCGATTGAATTCTCTAACAAGGACTATCATAGTCCTCCACCCTAACCATAGAGCCTGACTTTGAACCTGAAACTAGTCTGCATGTCAAACCTTACCAGGACCCTGATCCTGGCATTGACATTAACCCAAACCTCAATTTCACCCTGACCTTGATCCTCATCCTAACACTGACCTTTGAGCAGAACCTGGACTCACACTTGGCTGTGAACCTGACCTGGAATCAAACTTGACCATCATTACAGTGACCATCATCCTCAGTGTGGTCAATGCCCACATCTTGACCCATCCTTGACCTTAAACCTGACAATAACTGGTAGGTTGAAGAATGCTTAGTCCTCAAAGATGCCCATGTTCTAACCTATGAAAATGTTGCCTTACATAGCAATAGGGCTTTGCAGGTATGATCAAGTGTACAGACCTTGACAAGGGAAGAGTGTCTTAGATTACCCAGGTGGGTGTATATGCAAGAGAGAGAAGTGAAGGTGGGAGGTCTTCACTCCAGCAGCAAAAGAAAACAAACCCCACATTGACTTAATTGACCTTGACAATGAACATCATGCTCACCCTGAACTGACTATCCTAACCTTGATCTGGACCCATAACCTGACACTGACCCTAACCCTGAATATCAGCCTCACCCTGACCTTGATCCGAATCCTACACAGAATTGGACATTCGCTGTCAACCCGAGTGCAACTCTCAATCTTACCTCACCCTGACAGTAGCCCCTGACCTTCATCCTCTCACTGATCCTTTAATGGACACTCAACCTGACCCTGGTCCTGACCTTGATCATGATTCTCACATTGATCTTGAACATAACCCTGGCCCTAAAATTTCCCTTACACTGATTTTGACCATGAACCCGATTCTGACACTGACTTCTTTCTCATCCAGATCCTTAACCTAATATAGAATTCTATCCTGAACTAGACACTCACCCTCACTCTGATTCTGACCCTTATTACTTTGTCCCTCATCTTACATTCATCCTGACTGTGACTCTGACCTGCCCTGACTTGAACTTGATCACGACCCTTACCCTTACACTAACTGATCTGCACGTGGCCAGGGCCAGGACCAAGTCCAGGGTGAGGTTCAGGGTCAGGGCCCAAGGCAAGGGTGAGACCAGGTTAGGGACCGTGGTAAGGAAGGCACGAGGTTCAGTTAGGGCGAGGGTCTGGGCACGTGCCAGCGCCAACGTAAGAGGGAGGCTGAGGGTCACTGTGAAAGTGAGGGTCAGGGCCGGGATGATGTTCATGGTGAGGGTGTCAGGATCAGGGTTAGGTGAAGGAAGGAGGGCTAAGGGTGGGTGACAGGTGCCAATAAGGACTAGGTGACGAGCAGGGCAAGGTTGAGGAAGAGGGTCAGGATAAGGGCACATGGCAGGACCAGGGTCAGGGTGAAGGCCAGTATGAACCTGGTGAGAGGTCCAAGTCAAAGGTTAGGTAGAGGGCAGGGGTGAGGTGGAGGTGGAGGCCTGAACACATGTATATTGGTAAGGGATCAGACCAAGGGGCAGGGCCAGCACCACAGCGCGGGGTCCAGAAGTGCCGGTTCGGGAACACTGTAAGGTCCAGTGATGCGACTGAATGTCAGCGGGAGGGGATGGGCGAGGGTCTGGGGAGTGTCAGGGCAAAGGCAAGATCCATGGGGGAAGTCAGGGGGCAAACCCAAGGCCAGGGAGAGGCGGAGTAGGTGGGGCCACCGCACCGCGGGAGGAGGGGCCGAGGAGCGGCGGACGGGCCCGGGATTGGCTTAATGAGGCGCATGCGCGCTAGCAGCGGGCTCTG